GCTCATTGGCTAACGATTAGGGCTATGCAATTAATCGAAATCGAATCGCGATTTGAGACGTTGCGATTTCCTAATCGCAAAGCCTGCGATATGGACGCGATATTACTCTGTTCCAGAGCATATGCATGACTGCCAGCCTTGAGTTGCAGTCTTACTTGCCCTGGGCAAGAGTGAGCGCACCTCCGTTCTCCCCAATCAGCATTGCTCTAGCCAACTGCGTAAACACCCACCATTTAAAAAAAAATTTTAAAAACGGAAAGCGGGACGGGAGAGAGACAGAGTGGGATTATAGCGTCTACTGGGTCAGATCGATAGTTAGGCAAATTAAAACTAAAGAAAACCGTATGCAACTTAAGCTTCGAAATGACAGACAACGAACAAAAAATTTAATTTGCAAGAGCTGCGTCACAGCGCATATCAAAAGCTCCCTTATCGGTTCTGTTTTCAGTACTGGAGAATAAAAGATACATTCTTAGATGTTTTTGTTAGAACGTGAACGTTATCTTACACATTTTATCTCCCCAACAGATTAATTTAAAATAAGTTTATAATGCATGTTGGCTATTCCCAATTCAGAAGAGCGCACACACAGCCTGTGTCTCTGAATGCTTCTCATACTCGCTCCTCTCTGCCCCACGCGGCGCGAACCCCGCGTCACGGACGAGCCGTTCATGCTTGCCGCACTCACGCAGCCTGTCCCGTAATGCTCGTTTATACTCGCACCCAGCTCCGCGAGTCTCCACGAGCGCATCTGGCAGTATGGACGAGGCTTGACGCACGCGCGCAACCTGTGTCGACTCGCGCCTGGCTCCGCGTTTAAAACGAATGTAAATTCAGTCTAACTGCTTGCTAATTTCACTTGGATGAAATGAAACATTCAGCACATTTTCCACTTGTTCTTAAAATCCCAAATACTTAAAATGAATAAATCAATGTAATACTTTAATAATTGACTTAAGAAATAGTTCTTTATTTATAAAAAATAAACAAATATTTTCTGTGAAATTAAGGTAATTCTGTAAAAGTAGTTATACCATTATAATCTTGCCTGCTGAAAAAAAAAAACAATAAAACCCCTCCCAAAACACAATAAAAAATGTAATGGAATTCAGGGTTATAATGGGAATTGTATTGGTTTTAATGTAAACTATAATGGTGTCTATTTGATGGATTCTATTGGTGGGATGTAATCTGGCAGATGGCAACCAATAGAACAACAGTAATTCCTATTGGAAACATGCCCAAAACAAAAAGGAATTTTGTAATGGTTTAATGGAAACTATAAGAATTTCTGTGATGGTTTCTATTGTTTTTTTCAGCAGGGTAATGATACCCATACTGTGCTGCACATTATTGACAATATTGAGCTGAAGCTTGACTTTGCAAATTAAAAAATCGCAAATCAAATCGCAATCGCAATATCTGTCAAAAAAAAATAAAAAAAATCGCACAGCCCTAATTTTCATCTATAAAACGATAATGAGTTCAATAAACGTTCGATGCAAAGTTTATGCACCAAAAGCGGAACGAAACAGCACTACACACGACCACTAAACAATGCTGTGAGATCCAGTGTGAAGCGCTTAAATTCAGCCAACAACACAAATGACTCAGTGATTTACACTAGTTTAAAGCCAGATGAAACAGCACTGACAAACAGGAGAAACACTGTGCACAACAATATGGTCAGAAGGCTTTTCAATCTACAAATCGCCAACATTTACCAGGGATTTACTGTAGTAACAATAACTGCACCGTTGTATTGTGGCAGAAATACGGGATATTCATATCTAATTAAAGTCAGGCAAAACACAAACCTGTTTCTTGATTTGAAAAAATAATCACTCACTAGAACATGCAGAAAACTAAGAAATAAATTTTTCTATTAAGATGTTTCTTTGATTAAGGAAAAAAAGACTGGAAAAGTCCAAAGAACTCACAAATGTGAAATGTCATGTTCTGACTAGGGCTGTGCTTATGGAAAATAATGTGTTTTTTAAACCTTAAACCGCATAAACACATTGCATTACACCAAATACACAAAATAGCGTTCTTTTTAGCAACGCCATATGACCCCTTTAAACTGAAATTTATTGTGAAAATTTCAAAAAAATCTGAAATTTATTGTGATAATTATCGATATTGACTGATATGAAAAATATTTACCGTGATAATTTGTCCATATCTCCTAGCCCTATGCAGAAACAATTGGCAAATTACATGAAATATGCATATTCAAATATTTTCCTACATGTTTGCGAATCGATTTCATTGCGTCATGCGGAGTGGGCAGAGCTCAGTGCTCGTTCGCCGTGATTCTCTCTCAGCGACTCTCCGATTGGTGGAATTTTCTTTACAGCATCATATTGCATTATATCAGGATTATATCGTTATTATCATTATTAGTTATTGGTAAAAATATTTTCCCCTACATTTTTTACTTCCTGAATCTGACTGTTGCACAGTATTGAACCTAGTGCTGGGCGGTATGACCAAAAATTTGTGTCACGGTATTTTTCAAAATTATACCGGTTTCACGGTACATGACGGTATTATTTTTTTCATGCATGACCGGGTGTTAACCATATTTTCTACTGATTGAGAGAGGAAATACTGCAGTATATTGACTTAGCATGCCCTATTTTACTGTCATGATGAGTGAATATTGTCAAAAAATACCACACTAAATAGTGACTAAACATGACCCCTTTTAAATACACATTAACCAGGAGTAACTCATTAAATCACTTAAGGCTAGGAAACCTGTCAGTCATTCAACAGCTGTCAATCACATAGCTATGCTGCCAGATAACTAGCATTAAACATACAAAGACTTGCTGCGCACACACGTTCAGGTGAATAAACTGACAGTGTTTACTGAATGTATTCAATACACTGGACACCTAAACCTGTCCATAAGTAGATATATCTGATATTTCTGCTACAAATCGCAGGACTCACTCTGAGCTCAAACCGAACGAGGCTAATAACGCTGCTGACAAGAGCTCCAAACTGATGCCGTTTTCAACAAAATACACTTTAATGTAAAGAATAGTAATGTTACTAAAAAACGGAAAGATAAAACTCAAATACGACAACTGACTCTCGCACATTTTTTAAATAAAAGGTAAAGGTTGTGCGTTTCTCCGTTAGACGGCGGAGCAACACAAAATGGCGACTGTGGGCAGCTCAGATGAGTCCTTGTGCTCAAAGTCGCTAAAACACCATTACATTCCCATTAAATTAGTTCATATACATTCAAAACATTTGTTAAGGAAATGTAATGCGGTTGAGACACTGTAATAGTCATTAAAAGCGGGAGAATGCGCTGCACATTTCCTCCTAACATTACCCGCTATCAATGCTAACGGTGTATGACACGGATTTGTCCGGTGTCGTGTAACGTTACGTATTACACTGTGTGTGTGTGTGTGTGTATACGTGCAATCAAAACACACTAGTCTCACCCCAAAGCGTGAAACAACCACGGCCCGCGATTAATACACATCTGTCAATGTCAGACGCCTGAAACGAGCGCAGATCACATGAACCCGACTTAATTAAGTTAATCTGACCGAGCGTAAAGTGCACGCTTATTCTCATTCGATTTTACGTCAAATCCTCCAGCATTCCCGCACAGAGAAACGTGAGATTTTCGCGTCAAGCTACATCTATCTAACTACAAGACGTATCTATCTATCTATCTATCTATCTACCTATCTATCTACAAGACATATCTATCTATCTATCTATCTATCATCTGACTATTTCTATCTATCTATGTATCTATCTAACTACAAGACGTATCTATCTATCTATCTATCTATCATCTGACTATTTCTATCTATCTATGTATCTTCTGTCTGACTATTTCTATCTATCTATCTATCTATCTAACTACAAGACGTATCTATCTATCTATCTCCCTATCTATCTAACTACAAGACGTATCTATCTATCTATCTATCTATCTATCTAACTACAAGACGTATCTATCTATCTATCTATCTATCTATCTAACTACAAGACGTATCTATCTATACACAAGACTTGATCCCACTTAAGGACATTAAAACAAGTAAAGGATTGTAGAAAGCCTTTTCCTGAAGCTTTACTTGTAAATATAAAGATTTATTTCTACAGTTCTGACTGGCTTTAAATTGTAATTTTGGCTGCCCCTGAAATGCCTCAAACCATTAACATTACCTGAGCAGTTGATGTAAATATGTTAGAAAACCGAGCTCATTTAAGGACCTGAATTTATTGCATGGAGCGAGAACATTGTGTAAATGTCTCCAATGAAAATGCACTGAGATTTCAATTATAAGGGAGTGCATTACGAGTCAGTGAAAGAGAACAAATACGGAAAATAACACCTATGATAATTTTTATAAGGAAAAGTGGGACCTAGTCTCAAAATAATACATTTTTGCATTGAATTTATTTAATACACGAGTTTCACAATTTGAGTTGAATTACTGAAATAAATGAACTTTTCCACGACATTCTAATTTATTGAGATGCACCTGTATAATTAAAGACATCGTGTCATTGTTACAACATGTGGAAAGATTTGAGAAACATGCAAGCATTAGAACTGGTATGCATAAAATATGCCCTTTTCATAGACTGCAGGTTCACATTCATGGTTGTCACCTTAAAGTCAAATTTTGCGGAGAATTAGCCTAGGCTACATATTTATGATTTATGCAATCTGGTCAACCAGTCATAGTATTTGGGAAAATGTATATAATTTAGATTTTATTTGTTTATTTTTTGTAACTAAAATAAATTAATAAATTAATAAATAATAATAAACAAATTAGGAATCTAAATATATAGACTACATATATGCATTCAAGTAAAGATAGCCGAAGATTAAGGGGGGGGGAAATGCTTGTAATTAAGTCAGTCTCTCAGACCATTTATATGTGGTACAAAAATAGCTCAGTGACAGTTGTTTCCACACAGTCACATGGGGTTTATTTTGAAAGGTGAACTTCTCCGAAGATAAGGGACATTTGCTACACAGAGCCCGTGTCTCTAGCCTATATCTCTCTGATTATCAAAATTACTACAGTCATGAGCAATTCTTTAATGCACCTGCTTTTATTACCAACGCGACTAAGCTTATGGATTCTCTCTTTAGTATATTACATTCTCGTGTACGGCACAGCTGGAATCACCGCTTGTTTGGTTCTGATCCGAATTGCCTGGACTGGATTTAGGGATCCATATGGAACCTTTCAATGGACCGCTCGAAAGAGACCCCCAGACTGCCTAAAAGACCCTGCACTTGGTGACCATGCGTATCTGAAGGGCAGGGTGAGAGGATTTATAATGAAGAATATTATCAATTTTTTTTATCTGATGCCTTTAAAAACATTTAACAAAGTTATATGTAGAAGGTCATTATATACACTGTCGAAGATGTAAATAAAACGATTAGCCTATTGGAGTAAGAAAAATACTATTTCAGTCTTTCGACTTAAAAAAATGTCACTTTAATTAAATGTGTTACTTGCCGTTTCTTTGTGATTTTATGAAATCTACAAATAATTTCTGAGTAAGATTAGTTTTAAAGTAAATACATTTTTCTGCGTGATCTGTGTTCGTTCTATAGTGAGAAAGGTGAATGAAAGGCTAAATCATGATCGTCCATATCTTGTGCTCTTGCGCCACCTGTGTTTAGACATAGAACACGGCGTTCCTCAATCTATTCCACATTCCTTTGTCTTTAATGAAATCACACTTAGCAGCGTTCATTAGTCAGTGTTCAGTGAAATGTATACATTTCCAATCTTTCTCAAATTTGATAAGATTGTGATAAGATTTCATAAGATTGCTGGAATAGTCATTGAAAAGAGTGTCGATTATACGATACGTACTTAGTTATTTGCTTAGTCAGTCAGTACCTCCAATAATTTGACATCGTTTTGTGACATCTTTTTCTTGGTCTTTTTTTTTTTTTTTTACCCTTTAGAGCTCAGGCTTGAGGTTTCATTATGTAACCAAAGGAGACCACAGAAAGCCTCTAATGCTGTTTCTTCATGGTTTCCCAGAAAACTGGTTATTTCCTCCTTCATTTTTTATTTCTGCTTATTTTATATTGTAGACCTGATGCAGTAAGTTTTGTAAAGTGTTTCTGCATATTGTTTTCTTCTAAGTGAAAGCATACATTTCAGATATAACGTTACTAATTATTATTTTATTATATTATATCAAATTGTTGTTGCAATGTGGGTGTGTTTTATATTTATATAAAATATATGATCATTTTATATTACTTAATGCATATATATATATGACCTGCAGGTACTCCTGGCGTTACCAATTACAGGAATACAGTAGTCACTACCACACGGTGGCGCTAGATCTGCGTGGCTGTGGAGATTCTGACGCACCAGTCCAGCTGGAGGAATATTCACTGGACACACTCTTATATGACATCAGAGACACCATCGATGAACTGGGTACTTACTGACTGATTATATCACAAATGAATAGTAGCAGCCCCTGACCATACATTAAGGTTGGGCAGATTTGGGGTCGTATTGTAGGTTATATGATTAACCTATAATTAACTGCTAATAGCAGTTTTACATTCAAATGACTGAACACATGCAGGACACTTGCGTAATTCAGCCTGAGTGTGGCGCTTTAATATTACAGTTTTTCTCAGTCGCTTTGGTGCATTTCTCAAATCATCCTTAATATTTGCAAAAAAGTATGTGCATTTCTCAAAACAATTCGTACAAACAGCACGACACAATGGATTACCTGCAAAAGCCTGTAACTTACTCAAAATCTTTCGTGCATCTCTCAAAAGTAAGTATTTATGTCAATGAACATATCAGTGCCATCAGAAGGAAAAGTCCTTGTGTCATTGTTCACAAACAAGATAGTCAAAATGCTTAGTCATGTTGTCAATATAAGTGCACTTTGTTAGTATTACCTGATGTAAACTATGGCAACATTTCGGATGACAGTTACAGTATGCCATATGCTTATGTATGCCATATATCCATTTCAAAAGTACAAATATCCACATTACTGTATGTCATAAAAAATAATAAAGTCCATTGTCAGAATTTGTAACTCTTGTGTTGTCCTCTGTCTATACAGTATATCATGCTTCCCAAGTAAAGATTCATGAGATGAACCTTTGAGCTATTTCAGAGAAATGGTTTATCATTGGTTGATCTACATTCTCTTCTTGCACAATTCATGCCAAATTGACAAAAAGTCTAATAATAATGTGTAAAAAATGTGCTTGACAGTTTATGACAACTAGATGAACCATTTTGTATTTAATGACTTATACGATGAACTAAAGACTAGATGTTTTGAGGGGTAAGACTATTGCAAGAAAACTATATAATACATTTTGAGCAAAATTACATTAGCAACTGATAATGTAGGAAACCGCAGATAAATGTACATAATCAATTGCATGAATGAACCAAAGCAATCGCAACTTGCACAAAAGAATGAGAAACTGGTTTTATGATGTGTACAAATGACTAGATGATGTGGAGCTTGTACAAGTAGTTTTGAGAATTTCATTTCTGATTTGAGAAATGCACCAAAGCGACTGAGAAAAACTGTAATTACCATCCTACATACGTACATAGAGTGCATACATAGAATTATCGTGAAATCTTAGAATAAATGGATAGTTCAGGCATAAATGAAAACTCTGTCATCATTTACTCACTCTCAAGTTGTTCTGAACCTGTATGAGTTTCTTTCTTCTGTTAAGCACAAAAGAAGATATTTTGAAGAATGTTGGTAGCCAAACAGTTGACGTAGCCATTGACTTCCATAGTATGGAAAAAATACTATGGGAGTCAATGGCTACCGTCAACTGTTTGGTTACCAAAATTCTTCAAAATATTTTTGTCTGTGCTTAACAGAAGAAAGAAACTCATACTGATGAATGATGAGAATTTTCATTTTTGGCTGGACTATCCTTTTAATGTAGTATTTATTGTGAGTGAATATTGATTTTTGAATTTTACGAGTTGTAGAAAAATTCAGGAAGGTAAAACAAAGCTATGTCGAGTGCTGGGTGATTTACTAAACAGAAACAAACAAGCTATTTACAGGATATTTTTGGTTTGTTTTATTATTATTATTATCTTTAATTGTTTATGCTTTTGCAATTACTTTCCTTTCAAGGTGGGACACTGCCCATACAGACGGGCCACGGCTGAATGTGAACCAGTTTTGCCTTAGTCAATAAACCACTGGAATGTCATGTGTTTAATTACAGGTCACACAAGTTGTATATTGGTGGGGCATGACTGGGGTGGGATGCTGGCATGGCATTTTGCACTGGAAAGGCCAGACATGGTGCAACGTCTCATTGTCATGAACGCTCCTCATCCTGCCTCATGGTTGGGTAAGTGTATACTCACAATTTCCAGACAGGGCATCATTTCATTTCTGTTTTCAACACAACTCTGATTCTGAACGGAAACGTATGTGGGTGCAGACAATTAATACTCATTTCTGTAAAACCCAGACGCCGTTCTGAGAAGACCCTCGCAGCTGTTGCGCTCAGGACATGCATGTTTCTTCCAGTTACCAATGCTGCCTGAAATTGTTTTGTCTCTTGAAGATTTCAAGGTAGCGTGAACACCTTTAACCATTAACTCTGTGGTTAACAGTTTATGGTCATTTCTGTTTTGACAATGCTATTACTGTAACAGGAAACACTAAAGATGAGCTCTGGGTAACTTCCTGTCCTTTGAATTTGAGTCTAATGGTGACATTTCAGAAGTGGTGACAGTTGATTCTCTGCAACTTATATCTGTCATGTGCATATAGTTGGTTCGAAGTCTATTTTGTGGCAAGAATTTGGGCATCAGGAACAAATCCAGACGACTGACTGAGACCCAGCTGGAGGGGTACCTATACCGGCTTTCCCAGCCCGGAGGATTCACAGGCCCTCTGAACTACTTTCGTTCTCTTCTCAGGTTTAAAATTAGTCACACTTTCATTTCTATGTCATTGGTGGTATAGTGTGGTTATTGTTCACTTCTCTTTCTACAGTAACACTCTGTACAAGCATCAGGATGTCGGTGTGCCCTGCATGCTAATTTGGGGTGAGGCAGACAATATACTGGTTGAGGGCATGTCTGGTGGAACACGGCCTTATGTGAGGGGTCCGGTTGTCATTCACACTATTCCCGATTGCAGCCACTGGGTACAACAAGATCAACCTGAGAGAGTCAACAAGCTCATATGGGACTTTGTTCTGGATAAAGACATCATAAAACACAATCACTGATTGCCTTTGACGCAAAGAAGTTATTATTTTGAGTTATTAGCTCTAGCAAGGTTTCTGGTTTTCACTTACAAAATAACTACTTGCATTTTGTCTGGTTTGTCTTAAATTAAGTTAAAAAAAAAATAATAATAGTAAATAAATAAATAAAAGGTTTGAGGCCTGTTCAGTAAACTGTCTCAGGCAAGGGAGAAAATGTATGTTGTATAAATTATTATGTCTGGAAATATTTAAAGGTAAATGCAAAGTTTTCTTCCAAAAGTTAATTATAGCTCAAACGCTAATTTGAGTAGTCTGTTTCTCACATAAAATGTGGTTTTGATTGACTGAATATAGTGCATGAGTCATACAGACCACTTTTGCAATACTTTTGCAATACTTTTATGGTACTTTTATGATACTTTAATGGTTATATGATGATTTTGGAGCTGGACAGTCTGAATGGCCATCCAGTTTGTTTGTATGTGACAGAGCAGGACAATCTGCTAAATTTATGTTTTTGTGTTCTGCATACAAATAAATCTAAATGAAAATTTTGAACCCTTTAACAAGTCGTAGTCACAATAACAATTTTTAAATTAATTTCTTTGCCAAATTATGTTACCTCAAATGGCAAGCTATTGCATTTATTTCCTAACTACAATAATGTTTTTCAATAGTGATGACAGGAAGCCTATCTATTAAATTAGTCATTATCCATATAGTAACATTTCATTTTTATATTTCGATTATTGAATTCCATTTTGACTGTGTATTCCATATTGGTATTTAATCCAATTTTTACTTCCAACGTTTCATTAGGAGACACTAGCTATGTTTCCATCCACCTATTTTTATGCGCATTTTGGGATATCGCATAAAAAAACACTGGTTGGAAACGCCAAGATGCGCATAAAAAACTTTTGCGCTCAACTTAGTAGGACAAATTTCTTATCCGGTAAGAAAACATGCGCATAAACTACGATGGAAACACTTTTACCAAATAAATTCCTTAATGCGCATCAAAAAAGACATGTGACTTTGCGATGGAACAGCATAACTGGACCAACCAACGGACCGATCTCATTGCACAGCATCTGAAATGCTAGTTTTGTCATTCTAAAAAGCTTCGGCAATATCTCTCAAAGTGCTTTGTTATAATTAACTCCCAGAACTGCATTCCCAAACAGCAGGCTCCAAAAATAAGATAGCCTAAAATAACCGTGTTTCGTCTGCGCACTCGGAAGCTCGTAATTTATTATATACAAATATTATTATATACAGTGCCTTCTCCTACTGCAGCAAATATAATTATTCTTCGTGATATTTAGCGCCAAGTAATCAGGAAGTGACGATTTTGTTCTCTTCAACTCACTGGATGGAAACGGTGCTTTATTTGCAAATGTTTTATGCAATATTCCAATTTTGCACATAAGTTTATTCGTAACTTTGGATGGAAACATAGCTATCTTTCCTAGTTACTACCTTTATGAAAATGAACCATGGTTTTACTACAGTAAAAGTGTAGTAACCATGGTTTTTTGGTGTATTGATTACCATTTGTATAACCACAGTTTTACTACAAATGCCATGATTAAACTATGGTTAGTGTAGCAAAACAATGGTTAATTTGCGGTTACCATGGTTTAACTATAGTAACCATGGTTTTGTTTTATTTGTAGTAAAACCATGGTTAATTCGTAAGGGTAGTAACATTTCTTACCTGTCTTTACTGTCAGAATGTCCACATAATTCACTTAAAATTATAATAATATTTATAATAATAATATAATAACATTTTAGTGTTTAATAAATAAGTATTATTGTATATTCATTTAGTAATAAAAACCTGAATAGGTAATACTAGTCTAATAGTTACGAATAACTAAGTACAGTCTATTGAAACTGACCTTAAATCTAGTGGTTGTCGCCTGGATTAAATATGAAAACGGCTTGCCATACACTCTGTAGCAGATTCTGGGAAATGAATCGAAATATTTACTTTCTGAACCTGTCACCAAACGTTTCGAACAACAGTCTCGCGTTCATTGGATCCTCGGGCGGTGATTTCATCAAATCAGGTTTCAGGGAGGCGCACAAGGGGATCTCGGCGGATCTCAGATCTCTTGAAGACTTCTCCACGAACTCCGCCAGATGAGCGTTTCCGGCGAGCGCCCGAGTGCCAAAACATCGACCAGCGGCGAACTCTGAGCTGCTGTTATGTGTGTTTTCTTTGTTTGCTCTGAAGCTCTGGCAACGGTAAGGGTTTTTTTTTTTCTAGTGTCATTTTAGAACAAAGTAGTGTTGTTTGTGTGCTGACAACCGAGCCAAACTGTACAGTGTAAGTTACCTCTGCAGGGGCGAATAAAGTCGATGTGTGTTTCTGACTAGATTTGTTGCGTCCAGTTCTCACTGAATATAAGAAGTAATGGTAACCACAACTAATTTAATTCCTCGTTCTGTTCTTCACGTTTACTCTGAAAACTCGTGTGTTTAAGTTATAAACCATGCAGTTAGGATTGTAATGGGGGGCTAAACATCATTACTTCGTTTACTTTCAGCTCTTAATTTGCGTTGAAATCAAATCTAACGTATGTCTAATGAAGACTAGTATCACACCCTCTACTTTCTTGTTAAAGATTAACCTATTCACTTGTTGGACTTATAAGGCCAGATAATGTTGTTGTCCTCACGTCTTCCTGTGTTTTAGGGTTGGAAAACGATAAAAGACACGCCTTGTAAGCAGCAACACTGGCACGTTTTTTGATATGTATTTCAAATGGCGGCTGATCTCATCATCAGGATTACAGCATCAGGAAAAACTGGCCAAACTGGCAACAACTAAATGGTTCAACTGATTTACATTAACTACTTCTCTAATAATGTTATTCAATTCTACCTGTGAGGCGTATGACAATCCAGTGTCCTTCTTCTACAACAAGACTGGCAAGCCCATCAGCCCAAACTGGCGCACTCATGACTTTATTGTGGTCGGCCTCGGGCTCCCGATTTGTGTCTTTATTATTCTGGCGAATATGTTGGTCATAGTGGCCATAATCATCAACCGACAGTTCCACTTTCCCATTTATTACTTACTTGGGAACATGGCGGCCGCGGACCTCTTTGCTGGAATATCGTATCTCTACCTGGTGTTCCACACGGGGCCGTGGACCATCGGTTTGACCATCAAAGAGTGGTTTATTCGCGGAGCTTTGATCAACATGAGCCTGACCGCGTCTGTGGTCAACCTGCTGGCGGTGGCAGTGGAGCGCCATCAGACCATCTTCACCATGCAGCTCCACAGCACCATGACCAGGAGGCGCGTGGTGATGCTGATAGTCACCATCTGGTTGGTGGCCGTCGTCATGGGTTTGGTGCCCACCATGGGCTGGAACTGTGTTTGTGACCTGTCAACCTGCTGCATGGTTGCGCCGCTGTATTCCCGCAGCTTCCTAGTGTCCTGGGCCATCCTCAACCTCATGGCCTTCTTCATCATGGTGGCCGTTTACACTCACATCTTCATCTACGTTCGCCGGCGGAGCCGAGTAATGTCCCCACACACGGATCAGCCCTCCAACAATCAGACTGTTATCAGCCTCATGAAGACCATGTCCATGATTCTGGGTAAGGCCTTGACTCTTAGGTAGACTTCAGACGTTTGTGAGATTACTCGCTGTGTGTTGACTGAGTGAAAGTTTGATTTTCTGTTTTGGAAACTTGTTTGAAAATGAAAAATTGTCTCCAGTTGTGTGGCGAAGTACTGTTAATTTGTTTTTGGGAAAAACAAAACAAGTCTGTCAACCCCAAAACAAGTTTACCAAACCGGTTTGGCTCATTTTTGTTTGTCTCGCACCTGCTTATTTTGTACCTCGAGCTGGAATCAGTTATTTTAATTGCCCTAAGATTCTAGGAATCAGAACATTCATTCGGTGGATTGAAATGCGGTGGTGTGAAAAGAAATGCATCGACTGAGCACATGGTGCTATTGTGAGTAAATATACATAAAATAAATACATTATAATTAAACTAGCAAGTAGCAAAATATAAAAGATCTAGAAATTTATTATGAGTATCTTGAAATGAATCGGATCATTTGATATTTTTATGGTAAGGAAAAGTTCATTTGAGGTTGTGAAACATCATGTGGTGATATTTATCAATTAATGATTCATATATAAAAAATTCTTCACTGTAATCACTATTATAAATGATTTGTATAGTAAAATATTTTTTAAATATTTTTCTTAAGAGGTGAACAATCACGTATTCAAAGTGTAAGGAAAATATTTATTCACTTGGGTAAAACTTTACAGTAATTGTTAATTTGTTAATATTAGTTGATGCATTAGGCATCATAAACTGACAGTCAACTTTTACAGCATGTGTTAATAGTGGTTAATTAATTTCTACATATACTACCACTTGGGGTTGGTAAAATTCTTAATGTTTTAAAGTCTCTTCTGCTCAACAAGGCTGCATTTATTTGATCAAAAATACAGTAAAACCAGTAATATTGTAAAATATTATTACAATTTAAAATAACTATTCTCTATTATGGTATATTTTAAAATGTAATGTATTCCTGTGATGCAAAGTTGAATTTTCAGCATCATTACTCCAGTCTTCAGTGTCACATGATTCTTCAGAAATCATTCTAATATGCTGATTTGCTGCTCAAGAAACATTTCTTATTATTATCAATGTTGAAAACAGTTGTGCTTAAAATTTTGTGGAAACCAAGATGCATTTTTTTCAGGATTCTTTGAATAGAAAGCTCAAAAGAATAATTGATTTGAAATAGAAATCTTTTGTAACATTTATAAATGCCTTTACTTTCACTTTTGAACAAATTAATACAATCTTTTTTTTATTTATATTTTTTGAAAATTGTATATTTTAAAATGTAATGTATTCCTGTGATGCAAAGTTGAATTTTCAGCATCATTACTCCAGTCTTCAGTGTCACATGATTCTTCAGAAATCATTCTAATATGCTGATTTGCTGCTCAAGAAACATTTCTTATTATTATCAATGTTGAAAACAGTTGTGCTTAAAATTTTGTGGAAACCAAGATGCATTTTTTTCAGGATTCTTTGAATAGAAAGCTCGAAAGAATAATTGATTTGAAATAGAAATCTTTTGTAACATTTATAAATGCCTTTTACTTTCACTTTTGAACAAATTAATACAATCTTTTTTTATTTATATTTTTTGAAAATTAAATTGCAACTGGTGAAAATGCTACAAATATTTTGGCCAGTTTTGTATCTGTGTGTGTGTTGTAT